AGCGTGTAGACTCAACCAAGATGCGGACAAAGCGACCAACTGTCGGGAACACCTTCATCATCTTGGAAGTTAGATGACCCCTGTTGGGAGCTTCTAATCATGTGAAAGGGAGGCTGAGCACTGTATTCTGACACATTCACCGGAGTCTATACACTTACCATGACTTCAAGCTAGTCTCGCAACGGTCTTGCTTCGAATCCACCTTCTTTCCTGCTCACTAGGTCGTATGGCATGTGGGTTCCTAGTATTCTGTCCCAGATTGAGAAGAAGGGCTGAGAGTAGTTGTATTTGGTCCCTTGCAGCTGGTGGTGGATGTCGTGATAGGCAGTGTTATTTTGGAACAGGTGCTGGAAAATGTTATATGGTAACCAAAGCCCACAGTGATCATCGACTGTCTTGAGGACGGCGAAACAGAAGAAGAACACAGCAGTCCTTGGTGTCATACCGGAGACCAAGAAGGAGATGGCACCTCCTAAGGTGTCCAAAAGTAGGCCCTCCAATGGATGGTTGTACAGAGCCCCAATAGCATAAGGAACAATCAGCCGATGATGTTGCGAGTGGATGTGCCGATATAGGAATTTATTTTGGTGCATGTAGCGGTGCACAAAGTATTGCCATGAGTCCATCACCAGCATTGCAATTAAAAACTGAAAGATCTGGACGACGATAGGTGGCTGAACAACAGTTATTGAGCTATCAGAAGTGACCTGCAAATTATCATGTAGGATTGGGTTACAAAGGTCAGGTCACCATAACAGATGTTTAAAAACAAATGACAAATTCATGTATTGAATCTGGAACTCATCATCCTAACAAGAGGAAAACAATAATATAAACCTAATTGCACCTTCACCACCCTTGGCTACAAGCAAAATGCATGAGGTGCACAGGTTTTACGAAATTGATGCATAAGAGTAAACAGGTAGGCTAAAGCTACACAAGCCGGAAGCCAACTTCTTCACAAAAAAGAAGAAGAAAAAACTGTAACATCACAAAGAAGCACAAACAGAGCGCAGTGGCTCTCTAACAATAAACTATATTGACATATTATTAAGCTACTATGTTTTTGAAATAGTTGGTAGTTTTGCATAGGCAGGATGAAGAGAACACATGCATATTAAAAAATAAAAGGAACCCAAGTATGCAAAGTGAAAAGGTTCAAGCATCAAGGGTGAGCACACATTCTTAGAGCCATTTTCTACAAAATATAGAAACATTAATGTGGTATCAGTTCCACAGACAAAAGGAGATCCATAATTTTCAACAGGTTCATAAATTCAGGTCAGGGCAATCCTCTATAATGTACATACTACTGATCTCTAAACTACAATATTAAAATGTAGGGACTGAAAAGGTACTACAGCGATAGGAATGTGAGCAGGTGCACGAAAATACAGTGATTTGCTGATTCCTATTGAAGTCACAAGTTGCTGCCCCTTATGTTGCAAGCAACACTGACTTATATTAGATGGTGACTAATTTTCTTGACTATGTTTTCACCAGAAAATAGAAAGGCTATGGATTGTTATTAAAGATGCAAGTGGATACCCAATGGTGTTTTGTGGGTCAGCTAGCCTAGTTCATCCCTCCGACCCTCCCCTTAAATTAATTAGGTGGAGATGACATTTTAGTTCATTTTAACAAGTTTTGGGTTGACCCAATGACCCAAAACATGTGGGACTTGCATCCCTAGTTGCTATCCATCTTCAGTTAGTAAACTTCTTTCAAGGAGAAAACAAATAGCTTCCCTCATTGTTATTTGTTTGACATTATGAGATAATACATTCAAGATACACAACCCTGATACCATCAAAATTGATGATATTTAACACATTTGACTTGTCTGCCCCTCCTATCCAATTTGTTAACGCAAGATGAGCAATCACAACTAACCAGCAGTAGCACTCGTTCTTTTCTTTTCAAGCCTATACTACTTAACAGTCATCGCCAAATAGACTCTACATTCTGAAAGTTTCCCAACACTCTTGAGTTGCTGATCATTTACCATATGTATTCAGACATTAACGGTAGCCTGCTGGCAACTATCCATATATGGTCACTGGCTTAAATGGCAAAAGTACCTGATAATAGCAACAAGGAGGGTGAACAATTTTAGCAAAATCCAGCACATACCTAATAATATCAATGCTATCTTTATAACATAGTTGATATCGACTGACTCTTAACTCGGTTTTGTTTATCTCAATGGCAATACCACTAATTGAACTGAAACTCTGGAAATTAACTAAAATGCCAATGGACCAAGGCTGACTATCTCCTTACCATGAACAAGATCATCGCGACGATGGCCTGCACGAGCTGCTGCAGGAGTACGCCGCGGACGACGGTGGGGAGACTGACGAGGTTCTTCTCCTCCTCCTCAGCCCGCGTGTGGAGCCTGTACCGCTCAAGCGGCCGGCGGTGAAGGATCAGCTGGTAGCCGCCGGCGTACACCCAGTAGAGAACGATGGGCGCGAGGGTGCCCATCGTCTCGTCGCTGATGTACCCTTCCCACGGAACCATCTCCACTGGTGTTCGCCTCTTCCTACCACCACAAGAAGAAGACGATGGGGCACTCCAGCACGGGCGCCAAGATTGGGTTTTGACGCCGGACTCCTGCGCTCCTCCCAATCAAACCGCGAACCCTTTTGCCGGATTCGGGTGTCTCGCCGCCTCTACTCAGATCTAGGGAATAGGAACCGGTCGTGTTCTTGTTTTGTGAAGCCAGAGGCCACTCAGTTGGGGAGAATGGGGATTCGAGTCGGTGGGAAGAACAGAGATGGCGGAACAGCAGAGCGCATAAAAAGGGTTTCTCTTTTACTCGGAAATACGATGAAAAGGATCAGCTTATGATGTGCAGAAGATGAAATCGTTTAAAGCGGAATCAAGAGGAAACCAAATGGAACAGAAGAAAAGCTGGCGCCTTTAAGGGCTTCGTCTCCTCGCTGCTGTCGCCTCGCCCCTATTGATTTGGGAAGGTGCCAGAACAGGACAGAAGATTTAGGAAATATCTAGTGGACAACCGGTTGTTTTTAGCTTCTTCCATCAACTAATTTTTTCTCATACACTTACACTGTCTTATAGCTATATTTATACTGCCTTATTACTATATTTAAAATGATTTGTATTTTATTAGAAATAGTGATGTAATTTAGGAATAACACAAATATATACCAAATATTTCAAAAAAAATTATAAATTATTTCTATGAATTCTAGACATCAGAAAAATATATATCAAATTATTCACAAATTCTTTAGAAATTAAAAAACAAAATCCACACAAGGAGGTGAGAGAGGAGAGATTGTCGAAGGGTGTTCCGTGCTCGCGTTCGTGTGTCAGAAGAACACAGGCACCGGCATGATTGGTTGCTTGACACTGAAGCCAAGCGAACGCACGCATAAGGACGCATCGCACGCGCCAGCATGATCGCAGGCGGGGGGAGGCCGACACTTCCGCATTGCACGTCCCAAAAAACGGTTGATAACAACCGGCAAATCAACCTGTTCATCATTAGCCTTTCTGAAGATTTATTGCATGTGGATCCTTGTCTGTTCGGTTGCTGGCTTATAAGTCGACTTATCAGCTATGTATAATGTTTTTCTCTCTTAACAAATTAGCTGTATAAATCAGTATAAGCGACTTATATATCAGCCGAACATAGCCCAGGATAGGTTTTTAGTTACAGGTGCACGGCTCCCAGCTCAGAGTCCCCGCTCCACAGGACAACCGTGGTCCGTGGGATGTGTCAAATAGTGTAGGACCAACGTGTCCCACTTTTTTCCCTTTTATATACATCACCAACATTATACTGTTGATGAGGAGGGACATTCAAAATTCTGTTGTTGTGTTGCTGTCAATTTGCGTCATCCATTTGGTGAAAACATATACTGGCCATTCGCTTATTTACCCCAAGCTGTAACATCAATACATCATCAGAAATTTGTGTGTTGAAAGATCCGGTTACATCATCAGAAGTTTGTATCCGAAATTTGTTTAAAATGCACTTTTACGAGGCGTGTTCACTTTCGGTCTTTCGGAGTAGTATATCTATATTGTTGCGGTAGTGGACAATTTGCATACCGGATTAGCGATATTTGCCCAATAGGTTCAGGTAGGACCGTAGGAGCTGGACCGCTGGAGTACCACATGAAGCTTAGCTACCCTGGCAACCAAACTGAGATCTACGTACACGACTACACCCACTAGTGTCGTCCGGCACGCAGAACCCAATCATTCGCGGGGAACATGATCCAACAGCTCGTTTCGCAACCTACCCGACGCCCACCCAGATCGAGAGCTAAACCAACAACCACCGTCACATGCCAAGGCCTCCGTACAAGCATCTATTTTGTTGCATGCTCGCAACGCATTACGCATCCTCTCCGATTCTCCATCCAACAGGACATGATCAGGGTCAAATGATTTAACATTTCTTTTTTACTTATTAGCACTGCAACGATGGCCATCAATAAGCAAAGAACAGCTCGACATAAGCTGCAATTATGACCAAATCCAATATCGTTGAGATGATCATGGCCAAGTTGTCCTCACGTTGATCGCCACCAAAGATGATTATCAATCTATACTAATAGCCGTGTTACGTCCCCGTCACTAGAAAAGAGCAGCAAACTAAGGCAGAACACTTGCAATACAGGAGTCACCGAATCATCTTATCATCATCCTCTAAAGATATGGAGAGCATCTCTCCATGTGTTCAACGGTTGGGGCAGACACTTGGTACATTGGTGACTCCAGTCCACATGGCACCAAGATATGGAGAGAAGAATATCACAGCTACATGACTTGTATAAGGAAATGTCAACTAACATTGTCTTTGGATCAAAGCAAAATTTTCTGTGAACAGGGAACATTACATATGAGCATCACCAACAAGCAAAGGCCGAGTTCAAGCCCTTCTGACGACGCTACTACTCAAAATCCTCATTGCTCCTTCCAGTTTGGCAGAAAAACAGGTTTTGTTCCACCATATGATATGCCTATATTTTCTTAATGATCTGAACAACGTCCTCATCCTCGAGCTCATGCTCCTGCACGAATGTGCAATGAATCAGTGCAAGGAACCTAACACCCAGTGTGAGTGTGTACAATGTAATATCATGCTGGTCTAATGCATACCTTGCCAACTCTCTGAGGCTTATGCTTGACGCTGGAACCCCATACCAGAGCGCTGCAATTTTTGGAGCAGTTAGAGACGAGGGCCAAAAGACGAGTAAAAATTATCTGGTAAATAGCCAATCAAAAGATTCCATTCAAGTGATACGATAACAAGATAATTATCTGGCACTCACTATTTAAATTGTTTGACCATGTCCTTGTGGATTCTGTTGCAGAAATCTTCCACGGTTTTCTTCTTAGATGATACGATAACAGGATCCTCATAATCTGGGTTCAGCCCTTTAGGTTTTGTGTATATCCTAACCAAATCCAAGTATTCCCATACCTTCTCTAGAAGTCCATCAAGATTCCATTCAAGATGAGCACTGCAATAATATTTTATTTTAAAGAAAATAAAGTGCTTTAGCTATTAGAGGGAAATCAAGAGAAACAAATACAGCAATATACTAAAGTACATGCTCACCTAACTGGGCAGTAATGGGGAAGTTTGTCCAAGATTTCCAGCTCTTCAAGTGTTATCTGATCAATCTTGTTGACAACATATATGCAAGGAGTGTAAATCCTGCTTCCTTCAATAACATCTATGAGATCATCTGCTGTAGCATCAAATCTCAGGGAGACATCAGCATTATGTATCCTGTACTCGCTACAGATTGCTTTTACTGTATCAAGGTCCAAATGTGTGTTCGTCACTGTTGATGTGAAGTTGATTCCGCCCTTGTCCTTTCGTCTGAAAGTCAAATTGGGTGGTGTCTTGTTCAACCTACCAAGAACAAAAGGAGCGAAGATCTTAAAAACTTTTTTAAATAAGAAAAAACTCACAAAACGAATGGAACTAGTTATAAGGAAACAAAGGAGACACAAGCCGCAAGAGAGAACGTTGTATTAAAAAGAGCATGATAACATAGAGGATAGAATTCAGCATGATTCAGTATAAAAAAATGAATGCAACATCCAGGAAATGGATCAAGCCATCTAGGTAACTGATAATAGCTAAATGATGTCTTCCAGATTGGGAGCAGATCACAAGAGGACTGATGGCCGAGCTGTGTACAAGTTTCATGCACTAGCGCCTGCAAAAGTATGGATGTAAACAAGAATTACCTGATGCCAAATCCTTCAAGCTCCTTCTCGATAAGACGCTTGTGAGTTATTGGTTTTATAGCATCAAGAACAATCAAAATAACATTGCATGTCCTAGCTGTGCTGATAACCTGTTAAGCCACAAAAATAGGAACTTTCAAGCCAAGAGGAAATGGTCTTGAATGCAAAGAACAGGGAATAACACAAGAAAATCCAAGACTGAAGTGTTAAAAGCACCTATTTGATTTGGAGAACAACTACTGGGTGTGAAGTGTGAAGACAGCTAAAAGCCTAAAACAAGTACGGATCATAGAACTGTTCCTTAGTGAAGCATATCAACATAGTATGCATAAAAGGGTAAATAAGACCAGATGATGTAGCCTTAACAATCAACAAATTAGCTTAATTTCTCATCTATAATACAAGAAAAAATTGCTTAAATTGTACATATTAATATTCAAGGCTATAAGAAGTAAGAACTCATTGAGCCTCTAGTACTTTGAGGAACATAGCTAGTTAGTTGCCCAGTTTCCCCTACATATTTAGTAAAGCGGTGCACTCTTAGCTACAAAGTGGATATTTTGTATAAAGTAGACAATTCTGAAGTACTACCTCTATTATCCTTTTTTAGGCACAACAGGTAAAATCCCAGATACCAAAAGGAGTGGCTGGCCTCTTTAATTTTGCTTGCAAGCATCAACGCCCCATCAGTTTTCCTCCGCATGCATGCATAACGATTGGCTACACTAATTAAGCATGCACTGGCCGTTTGGTTTCCCTTCGCATGCATGCACGGGATTGGTCGCGCTAATTAAGCATGCGCCGGCTGGTTCCTCAGAAGGTACCCCACGCCTAACATATCGTCAAAAATGAAAAAACGCCGTACGCCCAATAAAAGATAATGTTGGGAGTAAGAAATACTGGTGCAGGTTTGTGTAAAAATTGTACTTATGGATGATTTTACAATAGGTGAGAGCTCAGAAGAGCTTCAGAATATGTAGATTGATACTGTTCATAGAATAACACGAATCCTATGAAGATAGGACAGTTGCTGCATACTATGCAATGACCAAGCTATGCCCATATAAGTAGGGCAATTTTTCCAGCAATGAATAAGAAAAGTTTTTTGTTGAAATCATGTCAATTTTAAGGAAGAAAATAGTGTCAGGAAAGTTTTGGAGGTTGAAATTACCTGTCTTCCTCTGCCCTTTCCATCTTTAGCACCTTCAATGATCCCTGGGAGATCTAGAAGCTGAAATGAAAGCCAGATATTAATCAAGATAAAAAATGCTCAGAAAAAACTTGTAGCTTTCTGAATACAAATGGTTACCTGGATTTTAGCACCCTTATACATGATAACTCCAGGAATACATGTTAAAGTTGTAAACTCATAGGCAGCAACCTTTGAAACAGAAAAGGAGCAAAAACAGTGCATTAGTAATTTAATATACAGAAATCAAAGTAATAGTAATATCATAGGAAAATATTCAGCTGTAGGAAGGTCCAAAGAGCAATCAATCCGAAAAGACTTCTTTTCTAATAATTCCAATTTCAAGAAGCACAGGCATAAACCACTGAATTCAGAACATGCATGCATCACTGAAACAAAAATCTAACTAGGCTGCTACTCAAGTTAATATGTATGTGTAGTCCTTCGGAGCATACCCATAGAATTAGACAGCATATAACTTAAAAACATTGTGCAAGATACAAACATGAGGTTTTCCCTAATACAATACAGATGATGAGCAGCTAAATCTGGACAAACCTTTATTAATTACTATAAATGTAAACAAAGAGCATTGATGCGGCAAACCTCTGAAAATGTCCCTGTCAGCTTGTTCAACAATGTTGATTTCCCGACTGAAGGAAAGCCAACTAAACCAACACGTGCATCTCCACTCTTCGTCACATCAAATCCTTCACCTGCACCACCTCCACCTTTGGATGTCGGAGTGAGCAACTCCCGCCGCAATTTTGCAAGTTTAGCCTAGCCAAACGAACAATTAAGAAGACATAACCTCAGTTGACATACAAAGAGTATCAGGTCAACAAAGTACAGTCTCATAATAAATATCAAAAATCAACATGAAGCATAATATGGAAACTACTTAATAGCAAAACATGGCAGCCTTGATAATTCAATAGTAGAAAATAGCTTAACTGTCCAGACTTTCTTAGGAGTTACAACCTCCAACCGCAAATATAAGTCCATTTAGGTTTGCCCTCAAACATCTTTTAACTTTGGCCATCAATATCTAAAAAAATCGTATAGACTGGCAACATATGGCGTTAATAGATTCATAATGAAACATACTTCCATTTTATTGAAAGAACATGGCAGGAGCTCTGCCTTTCAATTAAGGGGAGAAAGGGAGTCTAAAGGTTTTGAAGTTACAGATTGCCAATTGCCATAAATAAATAAACTATACACACCGCATTAGCAAACAGACGCAAACGATCCAAGTGTTACATTGAAATGCTATGCGGATGTCGTAATAAACTCATATGGGGTAGGAATGTTAGACTCATTAAAATGGATGGCAGAAATCAACCATAGGGGTGTTCTGAGATAAAGATAAAGAGTATAATTAAGTTACCTTCAGAAGACCAAGATGGTGAGCAGTGGCTTTATTCTTCTGTGTCCTTGCCATCTGCATAGTCAAGAAATGCAGGTAACATCAACACAGGGGTAAGAAACTGATCAAATATTCATGTCATCCACTGCTTAAGTTTTCCGGTACTTAAGTTGCAGCAATAGAAGCTCAGAAGATATATGAGAACAAATTTCCAGTTCCATCTTACTCAAAAACTGTACAACAACAACAACAACAACATAGCCTTTCAGTTGGGGTAGGCTAGAGTTGAAACCCACCAAGAGCCCCAAGTCACGGTTCAGGCACTTCAATAGCTGCTTTCCAAGCACTCCTATTCAAACATAGATCTCTAGGTATATCCCAAGCTTTCAAATCTCTTTTTATTGCCTCCCCCCATGTCAATTTCGGTCTTCCTCTACCTCTCCTCATATTATTAGCTTGGCTTAGGACTCCACAATGCACTGGTGCCTAATATCATCAATTCATCACCATGGAACAGAGCCAGAAAGCAGTTTACATGTTAGCACTGACTTAAAACCTACAGCTATTGATCACAGCTATGGAAGAGTGGGCCTGGCAATTCCACTTGTGGCCTAGAGATCCTGGGTTCGAATCAGCATACGAACAGAATTTTGAAGGGGTAAGGCTGTCTAGAAATTCCCTTTACCAGACCCCACATTGTCAACAATGGGTATTCCCCTTTTTAAGGAAAAGCAAGCAAATCCAACAATGTGACCAGAGGCACAGAGCATATAGTATTGTAGATTAGCATTGAAGCCCCACCAAGTCCACACTACGTACAGTCAATTCAGGATCCCAGACAATATTGATGCGATAAACTCATCAACTGACAAAACCTCATACAGACTAAACGGTCACACAAACCTCACTAGACACTTTACCATCGAACACAACAAGTACAGGACCTAGGGTTAGCATCCTTTCTCGCAAATAATAACAGCTACAAACAATCCCAATCTCACAGCCGCATTAAGACAACATCAGAACACATAGGCACGCGGCGAAACTATTAATAGTTCGAAACCAGAACTGAAGAGGTTAAAACCCCGTAGTATTTCCGGCATCCCAACTACCAAACTATGAACTATCTAAGCGACTCAGCATCCAAAACCATTTCAATTCCAAGCTCCCACTAAGCTACAAACGAACAGCTCGTAACCGCGGGGAGCACAAATCTACCGAAACGTCGGGACGGCTGGATGGGAACCTAGCGCGCAAACTCGCGATGCACTAACCGGGCTGGGGTCGTTAGTCGTTACCTCGTCCTCGATGTCCTTGATCTTCTGCATGACGGTCGCCATGGCCGCGACTCGAAGGGGGAGAGGCTTCGAGGTCGGGAAGGATCGTCTGCTCCTCGCTCGCGCGGCTTCGTTCGTGCGGATGCGAAGGGGAGGGAGTGAGGTTGGGAAGTCCGGAAGGGTGGAGAAAGGAGAAGGTACGAGAAGCGTGGTGAGGGTTTCCCTTAGGTTTGGGGGCGACACAGGCAGGCAGGCTTATGGGCCGGTAGGCTGGGCCGTAGAATGTTTCAATTTTGTGGAGATAAAAATGGCCTAAAAAACGAAACAAAAAAAAAACAAAAACAAAAAAGGAGAAAAAAGAAAAAAAAAAGAGAGAATCCGGTTTGAACCCGACGTGAATCGAACACGCAACCTTCTGATCTGGAGTCAGACGCGCTACCATTGCGCCACGGATCCGGATGGTGTCAGCGTTCGTTCTGTTTTTTATAATAACGATACAAATGCCACAAGCGCTGTACCGTGCCCCAATTGTGGATGAGAAGGCGGGTGGCACATTTTTTTAAATAATATTATTTTAATAAATAATTGTAAATCTAGATGATATCATAGAAAATTTATAAGAATAGATGTCTATCGGCACTTGGAAAGCCGGCTGGACACTTATCGGTTATTGGTTGGCCGATATAAGCATGTCGGCATCCTAAATGTCGATTACTCATGCCACATCAAACAAATTTGTGCCAATAGCATATTGGCATCCAAAGGGCCGACTACCCCGGGCCCGGCCAATTGGCGGTCCTGTGGCCGATAAGCCTCACCCTCTGCCTTTGCATTTACTATTATACTAGTGTGCATGTTGCATGTGATTTTGGCATTAGATGCCTCCGTTGGAATGCAACAAGGAGGCAGCAGTTGAGCAGTGATGGAACTGGACATCGTGTTTCGTTTTGTAAGACCTCATATCAATAAAATTTGAATTTGACTATAGTGGAAGATTTAAAATCTTGCAAATGATTATGACTATTGATATAAAATTTAACATTCATATGTAAATATGTAAATGATTATGACTCCGTCGACAACGAGGTGTCTGTGATGGCTTCGTCAATCTTGAGGATTTGCTGGCTCAGCTTTCGAAGATGCTCTAGGGGTAGGGTTTATATGTATATGTTCATAGGGGTTAGTATGCGTACGTTGTACTGTGTAATTCTAAAAAAAATATTAAATCTAACTTAATATTGAAAGATATTAAATTTAACTTAATATTGTTTTGATGGAATTGCTTTGCAGTGAGAAATGTTTTGGATTTCTAGGCTACCTGGCACTAGAACTAGAACTTTTTATTTTATCTTAAAACCTAATTTTTTTTAAAAAAGCATGTCACAAACTAAATTTTCACAAACTAGCGTTTAGTCGCACCAAATGTCGTAGGCGACTCGTATTACGGTCCGATGATTCAAACAATATCAAGTTTAATTAAATATATATTAAAGAGTACTACTATATATGATGTATAATAAATATCATTAGACAAAGCATGGAATATGCATACTCCCTCCATTTCAAAAATAGAGTCGCTATGGAAATCGTGCTAGTCAAACTTTCTCAACTTTAACTAGGTTTGTAGAAAATACGTGCAACATTTATATCTCCAAATAAGTTTATTATGAAAGTATATTTAACGATCTACCTAATGATACTAATTATGTACCATAAATATTAATATTTTCTTAAATATATTTGATCAAACTTAAAAGTTGCTGATTTTTTTGGCAAGCGATAATGACTCTTTTTTGGGACAAAAGGAGTAAGAAGTATATTTGAAAACATAAATGCTAATATTTCATGACAAAGATTTACATTCTTTTTGGATGGAGGGAGTATTTATGTTTTATCAAATTTTTTGTTTGACCAATTTTTTATACCATCACAAGTATTTGCAACCCCTCAATGCTTAACAACTGGATAAAAGAAACGTACAATGATATATGCAAATTAAAATATATGAAAACTATAACGAGCTATGAAATCACATGGTATTTAGGATTTTCATATAACGGCGCTCCTAGTGCCCAGACGCACGGATTCTAGGGAGCGTCCAGACGCCCCTCGGGGCCGTCCGAGTGTCCCGACCCCACAAACGAAACCACGTCCGCTCCTCCCGCATGGAACAGTAGACTCGCGGCAATGGAGCACCTCGCGATGGCCCGTCCCACGCTCGCGCGCCCGACCTCCCTCCGCGCCGTCATCCCGTCGTGCCGCCCGTCCCCCCGTCATTCCGTCGCGCCACCCATCCCCCCACCGCGCCCCGCTAGGTGCGTCGCGTCCTCACCGTGCTCCCATCACAAGTATTACTTGTTTGCAACATCAAACAAAGCGCAATACGAGATGCAACATCAAAACAAGTCTACTGCAACATCAGAATAAAGCGACTGCAACAAAAGAACAAAGCTACTGCAATGCGAGATACAAGATCGGAAAAAAGAAACTAATACAACAAAGAAATATTACTTATTGCAACACCATAACAAGGCTACTGCAACAAAAAAATAGAACAAAGCTGTCGGATTATTTTGCTCCGACAATATCCAGCAATGTGATCGTGTAGACGGAATCAGATGGTAGCACACGAGACATAGAGATTTATACTGGTTCGAGGCGTGGTACACGCTAATTTCTACTCCAGTGATGCGGTTGCTCTTGTATTCATATGCTCAATTACAGGGGCTGTTGTTACTAGCTATGAGGTAAATAGAATTGGTGAAAGATTGGATCCCGAGCCCGAGGTCCCTACCCTTATTTATATAGGCAGGAGAGGTAGGGTTACAGATAGAGCGATCGGGCTAACAGATTATTTTCTAGTCTGTTACAACAGATTGATCCTTGCTATCATTCAGATATGCCCATCTTGGTTTGCCTTGATCTCCACGTTGGTCGATCGCGTCAGCCCTTGTGGGCCTCCTCTTGATGGCTGCTGGGCCAATAGCTCGATGGTGGTCATATATACGGGCGGTGCAGCTACCCCTGGCCTATATCTCTGGCAGTAGCTCTTGTAGGACTTAATGATAAGCTAGCACGTAGCTTCAAGCCCTCGGGACGTCGCAGTCTCCCCTGTAAGTTCTGCATACTATGAGTACACAGTGAGCATCTTTAGGTGCCGAAGCTTTGAGTAGTGCAATCATATATTCCCAAGTATTGGAGAGCTAGTATATTGCCATTCGAGTACCAAGAGTATTTCTCAGGTAGCAAGAATCTTCTTCAAGCATCGAGTGCGGTGGTGGTACACCGTATATCAAGGGACGTTGCCCCCTAGCAGTTGTAAGTGCCTGGCTCGGGTGGTTCACCCCATATCGAGAAACATAGTTTCCTAGGCGTAGCCCTCGGGACGTTGTTGTAAGGGACCATGACGCCTAAGAGGGGGGTGAATTAGGCAATTTAAAACTCTAACTCTAACTAAGGCCTCTAGTTTCACCTAGTCAAAACCTATGCAAGAAAATAATCTATCTAAATATGCAACTATGTTTTGCTAGGTATGTTGCTATCTCTACCGCAAAAGAAAGATACAACCTAGGTTCCAATTCTATCAACTAGCCTATCAACTAAGCTAGGGGAAGTAAAGCACACAACCAAGGTAGCAATGTAAATACAGAAGGTAAAGATGAGGTAGAGGTGCAAACTCCCATCGATGACTCCGGTATTTTTACCGAGGTATCAAGAAGCGCTCAAGCTTCCCCCTAGTCCTCGTTGGAGCCCCTCGCAAGGAATCCCTCGCAAGGGCCAAACTCCTGGTCGGGTAACTCCGTGGATAGCCCCGGGCCTTCCCCATGCGCAAGTGGGTCTCTGATGTGCCTTCCGGCAACCCTCTCCCGGACCGCTTCCTATCGTCTTCACTATCAAGCTTCCGACCGAACCGTCGTGGGCCTTGTTCCCTTTAGTACACGATGATGGCCACACCACAAACGCGGTTGGTGTGATCTCACAAGACTACAAGCCCCTCCGATGCACAACAATGGTGCGTGCAAGTACTGAGTGATAAGAGGTGTGCAAACCTCACTAAACACTAGGCCTAAACCTATAGCAAGCGTATAAGCGGTGGTCTAATCAACCTAAGCACTTCGCAAAGCACCTACGCTAATCACCTAATGAATCACTAAGCACTATGCAAGTGAAGATTACTAAAATGGTGTATCAACACCCTTGGTATATTTTCTCAGTTCTCCACATCTCAAATGGCCGGTTGGGGGTCTATTTATAAGCCACGTAAAGAAAGTAGCCGTTGGGGGTGAAACCCAGCTTTCTGCAACTGACCGGACGCTGCTGTCGTCCTGACCAGACGTGTCCGATCGTCCTGACCGTTGAGCACATGCGTAGAGATCGAACGCACTACCGAGTCCGGTCATCATCGACCGGACGCGTTCGGTCGTATTTGCGCTGCTCTGGAACCTCTCTGGATATGATCGGACACTGCACTTTGTGCGTCCGGTCATCTAGTGTCGCTGCGTCCGGTCCTCACTGAGTTGTTGCCGCGACGATGAACAGTGAAGTTCGTGCATCCGGTCACTGCCTCGCTCAGCGCCCAGTCACTGCTGCTGACGCCTGCTGTTGCCTAGCAACTGATCGGACGCGTCCGATCCTCATAGGGCCACGTCCGGTCACCTCTATGGAGCTCGTTTCTTCGTGATCTTGCGTTTGGCTTGGTTCCTATCTTCATGCTTAGACTTTGCTTGATATTTTGGATCCTCTCTTGTGCTTCTAGGGTCTTGCTTAAGGTGTTGATCATCGGATCATCATATCACCTTCGTCCAAGTCATGTTAGCACCCTATTGAACTATAAAACAATTACATGCAAATTCATTAGTCTAATTTGGTTGTGTTGGTCATCAAACACCAAAATCTAAAGTAAATGTGCCTAGGGTTCATTTTCCTTATAGTTGTCAAGGCCACGTTCGGATGGTGTATACGATAACCGAAAGTGTAGCTTCAAGGACATCGTGGATACCAAGTTAGGGTAGATATACCGCTGTACTCGAGAAGTTGGTTCATGATGTATTTCGGCGTGTAAA